ATCACCAACGAACATAAGAATAAAGCAAATAAAGTAAAATATATTGTCTCTAAGACAGGGATTATTGGATAACAAATTAATGGATTGTTTGGTTTAAATGTAGAAAGCCATAAAACAAAGATTTCACACCAACCTGCCTCAGAAGAACTCGCACTTCTTCTTTCTCATCATAAGATATTCCTGTGCAGTGTGAAATTCCAAGTAATAAAGGGAAACATTACAAGAAATTCAAGGTTCACAGATCTAATGTTCACAAACTGCATCAATTACTAGAAACCAACTAGTTTTTGTTGTTATGTTCTGATGCTCAATGTCGACCTATTAGATTTTGCTGTGGTTATTAAGAAGTTTCAAGATATTTCTGCATATTTAAACACTAAAAATAGATACAAAAAACAAAGGAACAAAAAAGGAGATATTGACAATAAACTGTTTACCACAATAACATGGGTCAGCAAGAAGACTAACAAATGAGATGTAGTCATCTGGAATTCTTGTTTTTCCTTCTTGCTCTTTGATCAAAGCATAGGCAATCTGTTAAACATTGTGAAAAACTTTAACATATTCCCTTAGAGTCGGAAGTTCTATGAAAATTAAATGCAACAACTATTTGACAATAATATCTAAAAATGAAGGTTGAAATGTATTTTTTAATTTCAGTCACTGAATCCAAAAAAATTCCATATGCTACTTTTTCCATTCTCAGTGAATTCAGCCAATGCAGTGAACTAAGTTAGTGTTTGGTGAAAACACCTGCATATACCGATATACGCCAAAAACGGGTTCACCAAACGGGCTTTTAAGTTTCCAAAGTACTTGCATTCACATCCTTTCATGGAAAAATACTTGCCTGCGTATCCACAACATTTTGCAGCTTGATACCAAACTGAAAATACAATGCCTGCAAAGTAAAAATCATAAATAGCACCAATCATGATGTGTTCATCATTCAAATATAAATATAGCTATGAAAAGAGAATAGACCTCACTATCTCGTTTGCAGTCATGAATAACTTTGGTGATGTAACTAGATTCAAGTGCAGGCTTACAAGCTTGAATCAAAGACTCCCCTCCTTCAATTGCATCAACCAAATATATTGCATCTGGAAAGGCGATCTGTGAAGAAAAGGGAAAAAAAGAAAGAGAAAGAGTGAGTGCTCTAATCAACTTAGACACACACATAAAGGGCATCTACCTATAATTTTCTCTCAATTATTTTTGCATGGATTTATAGTGTTAAGTAATTTAAAGCACTTAACTGATACTATAAGTATCATGCAAGTGACATTAACATGGTCGGGATTTAGATGATGATAGTAATCATGATGATGAAGATATGTGCGTCTGTCATATAATATGTCTGGGCTACATACTTCAAAGTACTTTAACATTTTGCAATGACGATAAAAGCCATGGATATTAGTGAAAACAATAACCAGCCAAAAAGAATGAGGGATCAGATCCCCCGATCATAATAATAATAATAATAATAATAATAATAATAATAATAATAATAATAATAATAATAATACTAAATTATGGGGAAATACATATTTTTACTTGTTGCAAAAAAGATTAGTTGTGCATCACATCATAACTAGCCACAACCTTTGGCTAACACAAAATTAACTTCCACTTTGTACAAAGCTTCACGAACATTTCAATTTTTAGGCCCATGTTTCACTGGATCTTAATATTTCAAGAATAAGAACTGTAGCACACGTATAAACTGGATAATTAAGTACCAGTTTGGTAAGGGTTATTCGACTAAAATTGCTCTATTTTCTGAATATGCGAGGAAAAGTATTTGGTGACATTCCTTCCAACCAAGTAAGTCTAAAAGCTACTTATATTTTCTTATGCTACCAAATGTGGGCTAAGCAAAAAATGTGTTGTAGAATGCATTCACATTTCCCAATGATAATGGCAAATTAAGGTTACCTGCATTATACAAAGAGCCCCATTGCGGCAAAGATCAACACCCTCACAATCAAAACCAACAGCTAACTGGCTCCCGGGATAAGGCTCCAAGAATTCAACAGGAAGCTGGTCAGCTCGAGTAACAATGTGTACAGGAATTGAAGGCAATTGATTTTCATCCTCTTGTACCCCTTCTCCTGGGAGGAAATTAGAATCAATGCACTTCAAATTCACATTTCACTTCAAACAAATCTTCATTCACAGACACGAACAATCGCCAATGGTATTTTTGTAATTGGATCACAAAGTAAGAACTACAAAATGGGATCCGAGTCAAAAATGTAGTTCCTACGCATTCATGAGCACGAATCCACCACACCGAAGAGTAATTAATCAGAAAAAATATGAATGCAGAATTGAGAAAGCTTCGGCGGTTGTATTCATCAAACCTATAGGCTATAACTAAACGCAGAGAAGCAGTCATTTCAAAGCTCAAAGTTCATTATTGAAAATTAAACACCGTATGATTATGTTCATAGCTTAACAGAGTGAGAGATCGATTCCTCACAAAATCACCACAAAAAACCAGACAGAAATGAATTCGCGAAAATTCTCATGATATATATCCATACACGGACTATACCTGGTTTTTTCGCCATTTCTACCGTGAGCTTGGGCGATACGAGTTGCGCCACCGTTGATGTCTTCCGGCAGACGCCGGGAAGTGGCCGGTGAAAAGCGGATTGCGTAGACTAGCTAGTGAGCTCGAATAACTCCGTCATACGGAGTACGATTTTTCGGTTTTCTTTGAATGATGGCGTTAGAAGCACCAAATAATTCCTTTAGGTATCTAGATCCTCGAAAAATTAATTTGATATGATTCAAGGTATTTCGGTAAAATTCATGATGAAAATATACCTATCTAATTTACACTTTAAAATATAAAAAAAATATTTTTGAGAAAGTATATTTAGATAAAGAAATATAAAAAATGAATAAAAAAGAATGAATTGTTTACAAAACTTACCTAATATTTTACAAAGAAAAAAAGAACGAATGATGACAAAATATTACTCCGTAGTAAAAATACATGTTAATGTTTTTTTAATCTAATCTACCAAAAATAAAACTTGAATAAAAATAAGAATATAAGTATATAACTTACACTTAACAAAACTTGAACAAAATTTTTAAAATAAAGGTATTACTTAATGAAGAAATATTAAAAAAGTATTACGGAGTAATTTTTAAAATATATTAGCATATATGTTCGATTCTAAATGTCCGGTGTGAAAAGTTACCTTGTACCGTACAGAGATACTGAATCGACCGTCTAGTTCAATGCAATTTTTTGCGGTATTCATTTGGCTCGACTTCCTCAAATTTTTAAGGAAATTTTAATATCAGTTCAGTACTTGTCTCCCCATGGCTGGCGTAGTGGTACCGTATTTGGGATAAAAATACACAACGACAACAACAAAGCCTTATCCCACTATGTGGGATCAGCTACATGGATCAAACGGCATCATTGCATTCTATCATGTATCATATCTATTGTGATCTCTGTTTGCCAAGTTCTTTTAGGTCTACTTCTTCCTCTAGCCACACGCTTATTCACTATTTGATCAATCATTCTCCAGATGTCCAAAATTAAACCATCTAAGACGCGTTTTCACAATCTTTTTTTTTACAATAGGTGCCACTCTAATTACCTTTCGGTATCATATCTTCATTCTTTATTCTATTCGTACACGTATGGCCATTCATTCTATAAAATATCTTTATTTTCGCCACACTAACCTTATGTTCATGTTCACCTTTTGTTGTTCAATACTTTATTCCATACAATATAGCTGACGTAATAGCTTTATGGTACAATTTTCTGTTTAGTTTTAAAGATACTTTTTTGTCACATATAAAGCGTGAAACACTCTGCTATTTTGACTAACTGACTTGAATCATGCGGTTAATATCATCATCTATTTCTCTATTGTATTGAATGATACACCCAAGATATTTAAACTGTTTACTTGTGGTATAGTATTTTCTTTAATTAACTTTCACATCGGTGTTACTATTTCTTGTTATATATTTTAGTGTAATTGGAAATATTATTTGACCAATGGTATCATAATAATCATCAAAGAAGTTTGGTGGTGCAGAGTGCACGCTTCGTTGAGTTTATTATGATAAAAGTCTCATTTTAACGGGGGGGGTCCATTTCTAAGGGGGGTCGGGGGCAGCGCCCCCTTGGCGGTAGTTCTGGGGCAGCACCCCCGAGCAGGGTTCAAGGGGCAGAAGACCTCTGGCCTGGTCAGCTTGATTTTTTTATTTTGGACAAAGTGCTATGTTAAAGATTCATTTGAATTTTTAATTCTCGAATTTTCCTTAAAAGAAATTTTTCGGAAAAAATATAACCTGTTTTTCTCAAATTCGCACAAAAGGACGCGCGTTTTGGATGAGAGACGCGACCATAGCCTTTTTTTCTCTTTCGTGGCTCTATAAATTCTGTCGATCCTTCAAAGTTAATTTAGGGCCCATTTGAAAATAAGGAAATTGACTTCTTGAAAATAACTCATTTTCTAAAAATTAATTACCACATGCCATCCGTTTCTAGCATATAAAATGAAAGTTATTTGCATCATACCACTTTTCTTGCTTTACTTGATTTTTCTTTCAGTGTTTTGCTTGTGTTAAAGAATGTAGTAGAGTTTGTCGTTAACGGGCTTGCTCTTGTTGGGCTCGTACATTCCTTAACAGCTTGGAATACCTTAGCTTGATGTACACCAAACTTGTAGAGACACATAAACTTCAACTATATACGTTTCGCACAGATAGTTGATGTCTCTCTGACATGATTAGTGTACACAAGCTGGGGTGGGAGAAAATAGAACCTAAAAAGTTCATAGGAAGCATCATAAAACAAACAAGGGTGATGCTAAAACAAACAAGGGGCTACACTTACACCACAAATTATACCCCATTTGTACACCGCAGTAATACACGGACACAAAGTGTTAGTGCATTAACAAAAATTAGTTTAAGTGGGGTACAAAAGTTGGGGTACAAATAGTTTTATCCAACAAACAAAGCCTTAATTAAGCTAGGGGCAAATGGGGCACCTGCCCGGACCTCCATAGTAAAACTCGGGCTCCGGAACATAATCGGTGAAGTAATAAGAATCATAGCACTTGTACTCGTCGGCGTACGGGTAGGCCCAATCCGGCACGGTCAGGTCCAGCGAGTTCCCGAGGATCCTCATCCTCTTCACCGACCCCGACGTCCCGAATATGATCTCCGGGAAGTCTCCGCTGCCCATCTCCGTCGTCGTGTGCGGCCGCCGGTCGCCCAAGTGGCCGCTGTAGACCTCGCCGCCCCACTGGACTGTCTCGGCGTGCTGCCCTAAAACGCCGAATAGCTCCCTGGGCCAATACCCGATGTTTATTGCGTCTCCGTATTGTAGCCACCAGTTGCCCGTGTATGGGTCCTTTGCATTTGTTTAAAAATATAAACAAATTCATTATTTATTAATTTAAAAAAAATTATTACAACAATTCAATCTTGATTAGAAGTTACTAATTTTAACCCTAATCAACTTGATTAGAAGTTACTAATTTGATCGTCCACCTAAAGATTCAATAAGTAAATACTCATGTTGGTGGGCCTAGCGTGACTGGCAAGTGTGTCGTATTGTAATAACGGGGATCGATCCTTGAAAAGGACGATGGATGGCAACCATATTAAGCATGAGGACCTTGCACGTACTAAGGGCAGATGCTTACTCATAGACTAGATTCATAACCTAATTTACCTCTTTTCATGAAATTGTCTGAACGAATCTTAATCCTGATCAACTAATTTACACCCTCAATATCAAAGAACACTGTGAGCTGAGCTTAATCATACATCAATCTTTTTACAATTAGTTACGGAGTACTAATTTGATCGTCCACCTAAAAACTCAATAAGTAAATACTCATGTTACGTTGGTGGGCATAGCCTGGCTCGCAAGTGTGCCGTATTACCAGGGGCAGTATCCGGGACTGATCATTGAAAAGGACGATGAAAGGCAACCATATTAAGCATGGGGACCTTGCACGTACTAAGGGCAGATGCTTACTCATAGACTAGATTCATAACCTAATTTACATTCTCTCACAAGTTGTCTGAACGGATCTCGAAATATTATTGGGAATGTGGTTTATCCATTTGAATAACTAAAATACTGACCTGATGAATGAATACAGTAATTTCATAGGGCAGACCAGTAGATGATGAGATGGGATAGATTGCAGCGCCAAGTGCAATTTCATGGCTAGTTTGAACAAACCCCGGGCAGCTTAGGTCAAAACACCCTGTTTTCTTTGATCCATCTACCTGCCTCACATCCAAACAAGTCATTACTCCTCCGTAGGCCTTCTATAATTATATTATCTCATTTTTTACTTCTCGAATTATGAAAAAATTATATTTATTTATAATGTAAATTCAGTAGATTTGAGTTTATTTCAAAATATTAACTTTTTATAATATTTAATTATTTTAAATTATATTTAAATTGTGCTCAAATATTATCATAGTTTGATCACAAAAGTCGAACTGTAGCAATCTTTTAGGAACGCATGGAGTATTTTTAGAAATAAGTGAAAATTGAATGGCACTAGAAATTATTGTGAATAACGTTTTTTTTACTAGGGAGTATAATTTAAATTACTATGGAGTAAAAATTTAATTTGGAGAAGATATACCGTCCAATATGTGAAATATCGGGTTTGGGTATCCCCATAGAGAGCCGGGTTGACGGCCCAGCCAGACTGGACCAGTTCATAATCATAATAAGGCCCACCAGCGAGTGTGACATGAGAAGTGCTGTAATCTTCTTTTTCAACGTGAGGATTCCAAACTTTAATGTCTCCTTTTGCTCCCAAGTAACTCATCCCTTCTGTGTGTAACATTGCCAACTACACATACATATATATACATAATTACATATACATACATACACACACACATGTTCATATTTTTCAATTAATCAATTACTCTTTTCGTCTCAAAATTTTGCAGTAAATTAATTATCAGAAGTAAGAAATACGTTGGGATTGAACAAAATATCGTAAGATCGACCGAATGTTATAATATGACATTGAAATCTCAAACTTCCTATTTTGCAAAATAAATGATTCGGTTTCACTTCACATAGTTTAAAAAAAAGTAGATTTTAAATAGATTGTTGAAAGAGAATTGTTGTTAGTTGTCGCTTACTCGTTTCTTCTTAAGGAAAAAATAGAAAATTTATTTATGGATGGATATATGATAAAAAATGAAAGCGTGTCATTTGGGGACGGAGAGTGGATTAAAAGAATAGTAACTTTTTCTCTTTACATGTCACAAAAAATAAGATTTAGTTAATCATATTTTAAATTGAGAGATTGTTGGTCAGATAATTTGAAACTTTATTTTGAGATCGAGGAATCGAGTATATGGTTACGTACCGATCGGTTTGGGTGCAAGAGTAATAACTTGTCATCTTCATTTTGATTCAATTCATGGTGGTGATGATAATGTATGGGAGGCTTCTTCTTTCTAACATTTTCCACTTGATTTCTCTTGTTTTGTCCAACTCTAAGGGGAATGGTTCCTTTGGGACAACTCCCACTCTTGTGCCATGTTTGTGTTGTTGTTATAGTGAGAGGAGTAGTAATAATGTCTTCTTTGTTCATGTGTTTGGTGAAGGGTGGTGTTCCCATAGGTTGTTCTTGTTTGGTGTGTTTGTGATTGTAGCTTGGGGTCATCTGCAAATTAATAATGATAATTAATTAGATAAGATCAATCAATATGAAATTGCATGACATGATAATTAATCATCTCATTAATCACTATAGATAGGGAAAGAGATTTACCAAACACAAACATCTATCCTTACTCGTCTTTTTAACATTCATTTTAAGTGTCATAAAATGACACCGGCTGAACTGTATCTTTATTTCAAAGAAGTAATATGCATGACACAAAACGAAATAAGAAGTCAATTTTGAGACATTCAGGGCAGGGATATATTTTAATTTATTCCAAAAATGTATTTTACATTACATAGCAAGTTTAAAACTTTAAATTTAATACTCTGTAACTTAAAAAAACCCCTTAAACCCAACACATATGCTTTCACTTGAAATATGATAAGAGCTTAATCAACATTAAACATACATAAACCTGGACTTTGTGATTTCTTAAGGCAGGATGATTGAATGATGGCTGCTTGTGGATGTCAATGCATTCAATGATATCCCCATCCTCACTCTAAGCATCATAGTTATAAAATGCACACACACACACATATACTCCGTGTATATATATATATATATATATATATATATATATATATATATATATATATATATTGGTTCTGGTGAGAATGCGATCTTAGGAGAGAAATGAGAATGAATCTGGTGCTTTAAATTGTGCAATCCAAGGGTTAGGATTACATCAAAATTAAGTGCAACAAAATGGTTTGAAAATGCATCATGTCAAAATGCATCATAATCCTTTGAAAATGCACTATCTCAAAATCTAAGCGCAGGATGCAATCTGAGCCGCACGATGCATCAGATCCAACGGTTAGATTTCATTCTCATTTCTCTCCACAAGGTGCATTCTTACAGGAACCGGCCCCTATATATATATATATATATATATATATATATATATTCAGGATTATAAAATTTTATAAAAATAATTATTAGCAATATGTAATTATATTTATATGTATATACCTCAATGGTTTTGAGTGAGTAGCTTGTGTGCTGTTTCTTTACCATGCCAGAACAAAATGTAGTGATAAATAGAAGCATTAATAATGTCATTCTTGTAACTGATAAAAGGCGGAACATACTTTGGCATTTAATTAAAAATGAAGACATTATTATTATTATTCAATTCGAACTATATAATATGATATGGAATCTCATGCATGAATTGGGAGCCTACCTATATTATGTATTTGCATGAATAACTTTACACATCATTCATTTTCCATTTCCTATTTGAATACGAATTTAGAACACATTTATTGGACAATTATCAAATGACATGTGCATGAAGGTGATTAGTTAATTATATACTCCCTCCGTCCCAAAAAGATTTACACCTTTTAAAAAAATTACGTCCCACAATCTCCTACCCATTTCTATTAAAAAATTATTTTTACCCCTTACTTTTTCAAACCCTACCTATCACATCATACCTTTTTCCTAATAATCTACAAATCACATCCTACTTTTACCCATCACATCAAGGGTATTTTTGGAAAGTCAACACAAAATTATCTCTCCCTTAATTTCAACTTTAGTCAAAACGTGTAAATCTTTTTGGGACGGAGGTAGTATAAGATATATGTTATATGTATAATATAATTATAGTGAAATTTGCATTGAATAGAACTAAAACATAAGTTATTTTCCAATGTAGGACTTAAATTTTTTTATTTTCTAAATATGATTTAGTATTGACTAGTCAGAAAAATAATATCCAAGTGATGCTGGATATTTAATTGAATAATGACTAATAGATAATGACCAATGATCCTACATTGGAAAATAATAACATATGGTCTTATATTGAGAAATTCATTATATTTTAGTCCTATTTAGGTAAATTACCCATAATTATAAGCTCTTTGGAACGTTTCTCTTCAGTTATTTACCTTGATACATGCACTTTATTGAATTTTAACAAGAGGACCCCTATTAGTTTCATCTGAATAGAACTTCCGGTATTTAATACGGAGTAATATGAATGAATGTTTAGTTATGTTTATACCATTATGATGAAGAGTAATGCTTACATGATCCCAATGTTCACATTTAAAATATGGACCTTTTAACAAAAAAAGGCTCACTTCTTTTTTTTGAAAAGGCTCACTTCTTTTATACTATAAAAGAAGTATATATTTTCTTTTTTGAAAATATCCACATGGGCTTACATGTGGATATTTTCTTTTTTAAAAAGGCTCACTTCTTTTATACTATAAATGCAGTAAGGTCTATATAATGAACATGGATCTTAGGTCTACGCAAGAATTTGCCCATTTTGAATAGTGTGTTGAATGGAGAGATAGAGCAATTTATTTAAATACTACTTCCATCCCTGAATATTTGTCCAGTTTTAACTTTTTTTCGGTCATATGTTTTTAAACTTTGACCTATAATTAAATAAAATAAATATTGTATATTAATTATATAAAATAATATTTTAAAAATATTTTATGTAATAAACCTAATAAAATTATTTTTATATCAATATCTAATATTATTTTTATTTAATTTGATGTCAAAATTTATCAATTTTAATCGAAAAAAATAAATAAATACTCAAGGGACAAGGGATAGAGGAAATAACTCAACAGCATAACTTGAAAAATAGCCACACTCACCCTTCAAAATCCCAACTATCTACGGTTATGTCCTTTTTTTGTTCTCTTTTTGTTTTGTTTGCTTCTGCATCTTTTTTAATTTATCTCTTTTTTTTCCTTCAATGTCTTAATTATCTTTAATTTCTTCCTCCAAGCAACTTTTTTTCTCCATTTTTTTACTTCAATGTCACAAAAAAACACATTAATTTTATATTTCCAACTCAAATTGTGTTGCATTGGAGACTAAAAAATTAAATAAGAAGTTAATTTTAGGACAAAGGAGTAATAATTATCTTCACAATTTGTAAAAAAAAGTGGTAGCTAGTAACATGTAAGGGCCTCTCCACTATGCGCACATCATCTAGACATTTAAATATTGGGGCGAGGTACACTAAAATGGTGTAGCTCATTTGTATATTAGAGCAGCACAAACAACACACATTATATGTTTGTGATCCATAGATACATAATGCATGTGTTGCTCTGGTGTGCAAATAAGATACACGTACCTTTTTTATGAAATTATGTACCCCCTAATTTTATTATTAAATATTTGTCAAGGGGTATTGCGCAGTTGGCAAGCCAATGAATGTCAAACAAGTAAGACCCAAATTTGATTTCTGGCTACTACGCTGAGAGGTAACAAGTACCAGATGCAAGCTCTATTTTTTACCACCAATCTGTGATCAAAATTTAAATTACACTCTTTCAATGATTATCCGGCCAGGTCTTAGAGGACCCTCGAGATGAGCCTCATGCTTTACTTTTATTCTTAAATATTTGATGACAATTAAATTAGCTGTTGGTGGATCCTACGCATCGAGTTCAATTGCGAATCCAGGCTGTTTATCCGGGCAGCTGCCCGAATTCTCCTTTTTGCCCGAACAACGCACCCCGGTGGGCCTATATAAAGCATAACCACGCTACAACGCCCTAATTCTTTGTGCCCCTCTCTTCTCAGTCTCATCCTGCTCAGTTCTCAAACAGCTTTCAATCCGACATCAATGGCGTTTCCCGGCTCCAGAGCTACTGTACTCGCTCTAACGGTCGCCGCGGCCGCGGTGTTTTCTCTAATCGGAGCATCAGTCGCCGCGGAAGCGCCTGCTCCGTCTCCGACATCCGCCGCCGGATCACTGTCTCCGTCGCCAGCTGCCGCAAGCGCGGCCGCAGCCTTAGCATCTCTTCTCTTCGGATCCGCGCTCAGGATCTGATCTTCTCGCCGACCGGAGACTCTCTGCTGTAATTCGTTTCATTTTGCGTTTATATTTGGAGAATTATATGTGTTTGGATTGTATGTACAGATCTGCTAGTGTGTGTTCTTGCAACGATAATGTATTTTGTTAAAGGTGATTGTTAATAATTTCGGTTTTGGAGGATTGAGATCGTAGAAATTGAGTTTTCCGACGAGATTTGTTGAAGCTTCTGGGTGTGATTCGTTTTGAGGGAAGGTTTCTGTTTGCCTCTGTTAATATGATGAATATGAGTATTGTTTTTTCTGTTGAAGTTTGTGCAGTGTGCCCTTGAGATTCCTGATGAATATGAGTATTGTGTATGGCTTCCATCCCCAACTACTTTCACTTTTTTTACTCCCTCCGTCCCTGTATTTGTCCACATTTGACTTTTGGAACTGTTCATCTAAACACTTTGACTCATCAAATTCTCTCAATGTGTAAGCCTAAATATAATCATGTGTGATCTTGTTTGATTTGTCTTAACATATAGATTATTAATATATAATTTTTATAATTTTTTAATATATAAATTACAAGATAAAATGGATTAAAGAAGTGTATTGGATGATGTGTAAAAATGAAAATGGACAAATACAGGGGGACGGAGGGAATAATAAAGAAGTGAAATCTGCTGCAAATAAAACTAAGTTTAGTTAAAATAATTTTAAAGATAGAATATGAAAACATTGAATATGAGATTAAAATAAGAGTTCATATTGTCATTCTTACACTATTACTCTAACTCTGTTGTCACACTTTAACTACCACAGTGTCTCTTTTTGTTGCAGTTGATCATCAAGAGTGTCGTTTATCGCCAATGTTGATTAGTGGTCCATTGGTTGTTGACTAATCATATTATCATATTATAAACTAACTTATTATATTACACGGTCAATACTCATATGCCACACTATCATTATACTTATATTTAGGAGATATAAGGTTGTGTTTCATTCTCCTCATCTAATATAATTTAATTTTTTGAAGATTTAATCTGATCTGATTGCAGTTATTTTGATTTGACTTAATTATAATAAGAATAAGTAATAAGTAGAAAAAACAAATTGAACAAAATGCTATCTAAACAAGGTGACTTTTGTTTTGACATTTTAGTTGAATAAAAAATTTCATCACTATTCATGTGTGATGTAGTATGTCATACTCCGTAAATTTGAACATATATTATTATTTTATATTTCATCATATAAAAGTTTTAAGTTATTGTTGAAAGAAATTGAAAAAAGTTGGAAGGGAATAGAAAGAGTTAGAAAAAATTGGAAGAAATTAAAAAAAGTTGAAATTTAATTTTTCAATCAAATCCAAAAGAAGAGAACCTAGGAAGCAAAGTTTAGTGTCCCTTTTTATCTAGTCCAAAACTTGAACATTATACTGTCAACGACTTTTTAATTTTAAGTAGCAGTGAACGGTAACTATGTCAATAATTCTATAATATAATCCATTAAATAGTAAACACGAGAACAATTAAAATTAAACAAGGCGTTGCTATTATATGTGTAGCAGACACTATTTACAGGAGAAACAGAGGGTTACCACTCCATTACAGGACCATAGGGAATTCACACATAGATTTTACTTGCGTTCCAAGAAGGGCATATTTGGTACATCACACAGAAAAAACTACCTTTCTATATGATATGATGATTATGTTACATACACATTTCCTTCTTTCACTTAATTATGCACTGAACCCTCTGTGGAGTGAGCTCCAAGTGAAAGAAGGGAGAGTGGGACAGGCCTGTGCCGACGCCTCCGCCATTTGTTCCATCGTTATCCCCGCGTTGCACATGTTGGCGATGGACCGCATGTGTTTCATCCCGTATTGCGACAACGATCCGCAGTGTCCCTCGAACGTTCTCACCTGTCAAAACAGAGTGATTACATACAGTCGCGTTTTCCGCTCTTTCTGTCTCATAAAAAACTTCGTTGAAATTTTGAAAAATTTGTTGAAAGGTGTATACTTCATTTGTGTCTTTTTTAGTCTGTCCCAAAATAACTGTCTCACTTCTTTACTTTACTACTAAAGTAAAGAATATGTGGTTCACAATCTTTTCTTTGCTCATCAAATTTCAACCATTCACCTTTTACTTTTCTAACCCTTTTCTAAAACTCTGTGAAGTCAAACAAGGATGATTAATTTGGGATGGAGGGAGTACATAAATGTAGGGGTGTTCATTATTTGGTTCAAACCTGGACCAACCCGAAACCTGGTCAAAACTACGGACCGGACCGATCCCTTTTTTTATCTGGTCCTCCAATTTTCCTTATTCGAATTTCAGCCCGGTTTTGTCCGCGTTAAGTCAAACTATGTCGATTAATTTGGGACGGAGGGACTATATATGTGTGTGTGTGTGCACGCGTGTGTGTCTGCGTGTGTGTGTGTGTGTGTGTGTGAAGACACTAATTCGGGTAATTCGACAATGGGTGATGTACTTACAAATGACTTGAGGCAGGTCCAGTCATCGACGAGGGGTTGGCCAGCATCACGAATGTTGCCGAGCACCTTAGGACCTTTCTCAATTCCAAACAAGAGCTTCCCTACGAGTGCAATGCTGTTGTCAATGTGCACTCTGTGCGAAATGGCCTCCGTGAACTGTTTCTGAGCTTCCGCTTTCCTTGCTGACCCTTCTGGGGCATTGCGCAACTGCCAATGATGAAGAAAATGTTTGAAAATTCGATACTCGGTTGGTTTAGAGATTGATTTTGTAAATGATTCTCAGCTTTTGCTTTGGCTAAAAGTCGTCTGAAATGTTTGGGTGTGTGATTTTTTTTAGCTTTATTCCGAGATGAAAACACAGGTGAGAAGTACCTCGTAGATGTTTAAAAATTCTATAGTGAAGATGATAACTTTTGAAAAAAATTCAAGCACACCCAAACACCCTCTTAGGCTATGTTTGGAACACGAGAAATATGCTAGTGAAATTTAGTTTTTTTACCTTCTGAATTTCCTTTTTTTTCCTCATCATACGAGTATTTTCTTTCCTAACATGCTTTGGACTCCAAACAGGCCTTTAACCATATAAAGTAGAACTAAGCAAAATAATAATAACTAATGAATGAGACAAAGCTAACCTTGTCCCAGAAATGCAAAAGATCAGCATCACGCTGGTTCACCGCCCTGCTTGGTAATCTCAGTGAGTTTTCACCCTCGACGAAGGTGAAGTTCTCGTTTGCAGGATTTGTACCGATATACAGGAAAAGGGAATCCTTGCTCACATCTAAATCTCCGTATTGCATCACGTGGGATCCAATTGCACTGTTTCCACCCAGAGTTCTCTCCTTAACCTGTGTGTTTGTACAATTTATGAAAGTAAGATAAATATGATCGCTAATGCGCGTTATAAAACTACACCAAATTGTTGTAACTCCATTTGTATACAACATTTGTAGTGGTATTACTCCCTTAATCTATCTATGTTCACTATTCACAAGATCCCTTAATCAGTTAATCTGCATAATTTGTTCTACTGCTAAGACCCGGACATAGTTGGGATTAATACTAGATTTTGTTGTCGTTGTTGCATACAAAGAACAATCCAATGAGTTTTCCATCAAGAAAATAGGGCATTTCATGTTTACTACCAAACAATATGTTACTTTGACCAAACCAAAACTCATTCCAATTGTGGAGTACTTACCAGGCGATATTGCTGCTTCAGAGATTCAGTCCTTAGGTTGTGTTTGTCACTGGTCATGATTCATGAATAGAAGCCATTATAAGCATTGGCACATAAAAATAAATTTGAATAAATAAATAAATATATCACTGGACATAAGGTGTGGCATTTGAGAGCAAGGTTTGAAGTCTTCTCCGTAGGGGTTGGAACGGGCTGGGCTAACATCCGTAGGACACCGCCCCGGCTTGTTTTTAAAATGGAGGGGTATATATAATGTGGAGGGACTTGAACAAGGGAAGAAGTAGGTACCTATCTTCCATCCAGGCAACACTATACAAGTCACCTAAGCAGGTCTCATATTCTGGAGGAGGGCTAGGAGACTCTCCAGGACAGTATGTCCCCCAGCTACTCTCTTCAGCATTTGAAGCCGTTGTTGCGTAGATATTTATACCTTTCGGAAGAATACCCTCAAAGATGCTCCCGGACTCGCAAGCTTCTAGATAGAACACCTAGAGTTGAATAAGGACACCCGAAATATTCGGAGTTTTAGGTGAAGATCGAATGTATGGAAATTGGTGAAGAAAGGCTGATAAAACGGTACGTAAAGTGATTACCAAGCTTTTATATGCTCCGGCAGCATGCTTCTTTTTCAAGGCAGCATTCAACTCGTCCGCATAAAGATTAGGACCGGTGGGCATACCTTCATGTATATGCACACACTTGGAAATCAGAATACAAAAACAACAAACCCAGTAAAGTCCTACAAATGAGTGGGGTCTAGAGGGACGTGTATACGCGGACCTTACCCCTACTTGGAAGTAGAGGGGCATTTTCCAAGAGACCCTCGACTCAAACACAAAAGCCCATACCAAGTAAAATAAGACTCGCTACTAGTCCTATTTTAGCACCACGGTTCTACCGGAACGAAGCATTAGAAAGTAGATACTAACCAAGAACACCAGGGCCGCCGTGATCAGAATAGTAAACAAATATGTGATCATCTGGACCGCTATCCACAACCTTCCCACTGCCACCGGTCAGAGCAGTTTTGTTTCCGAGGAGAACAGCCAGAAAATTGCTAACGGTAACATCGTCCCCTGTGTAATCCTGCTCCATAGAATTACTCCGCGTGAGATTTGTGTAAGGAAACTGTATATTCCTATTTTTGTTCATAATATCCTTTTCTTGTTTATGTCGATACTATCATAGTAGAATATTCTACTATCTCTGTACATAGAGGGTTCTGTTTCCTTTTGAGTTCCCGGCCTGTGCGCAACTACTTGTATATATACAAATCTTCCATGTACATTAGATTCAATCATTCAGAAAAGGAAATATACAGAAATATTCCCCAAAGTATTATTATTATTATTATTATTTCCCCAAATGTACAGAAATTTAATCCTAGCCCGGTTAATTAAGTTCGAGGTTATACACTTAATATAGAGACTTACCTTGGGAACTCCTTTATAAACATCCTCGCCGTGAGGGCTATTGATGATAATCCCTTTCCTGGGGTTCTCTTCATTGTCGGCAATGTCATCATACATAAATACAACTATGTTTTCTTCCTTGAGACCACCTTTTATTAACAACTGATAAGCATGGCAGATATCAGCCTGCAACCAAATCAAAGTCAAAGAAAAAACCTTCATCATCTTCAATAATTGGCAAAAACAATGACATAATTTGAAGCTCTCGTTAATGCTCTGTACGTCCCCAGAAAAAATTAAACTCTTGTTGAAATGTGACCATATATAGACAGGAGAACAAGAACCTAAAGGGCACTGCACTAATAGACTTGACCAACCAATCTATCTATTCTAGTTAAAATTTCCATATTGTACATGGTTTCTTTTTAAGAGACTTCAAAAGCAAATGCTCAATCTATCTTAAAATTAACATTATGCTCCATATAATTCTTTTTTAGTGTCTCAAAATTAAATGTATACTAGTATTTCTCAAATATCCTTTTTTAGGAATAAATATGTTTCTAGCGCCATTTATCTCTCTTCCCCAAAAATTTGAACCACAACCACTCACTTTTATGGGTACACTTTCAGGCGGATGGACTATGGTATATATTCCATATGTTATTTGAGTTATTTCTACCCTTTTGTATGGAAAGTAGAGTTGTCGCTAAAGGCCCCACAATTTGGTGGGCCCTAGTACTAGGTAATTGTGTAATACCTTATGTACTCTCTATATTTCATCCATTAAATCTTTTTTGTACATTAAAAAATTGCATAACTCTTAGTTACATCCACATTTATTTATTGTTTAATGTATGAAAAGACAATTAATTGAGGATGAAGAAACTATGTACTTCCACTCTCTCAAAAAACTTCACTCGTTTTTTTCCTTTTTGGATGTCGCAAAAAAAAACCTCAATAACATTATTTCATCTCCTTTACTCTTTCCCTCCCAAATTAAATCGTTTATTTCAATTTACGATGTTTAAATTTTATTTCAATTCAACTTATTTGAAAGTTAGGTGGAATATACTCCGTGTATATATATATATATATATATATATATATATATATATAACTACAGCAAAAGTTTTACGAAACAATTTGTTACTTGACTATATGTTTTTATCAAATGAGTAATAAGTAAAGAATGAGTAACAAAAATAAGTAAAAGAGGTGAATGAAGTTTAGGACAGAGAGAGTATTAAATATTGAAAAAATGATCTAATTCAATATTTAAGTGATGTAAAAAAGACTCATACAATTCAAGCGCTAGCTAGAGAAAGGTTCCTTATTTGCCCCATATATAGTTAATAAAACCGTGAAGTAATGCAAAAATCCACTATTTGCAGCATCATAAAGAACATAACTTCCTGATAAAGGTTCCTTAACTTCCACGCAAAGAACTCCAAGCTTTTATTTTTTAAATAAAAAGGGGAAAAAATCATTCAAAATAACAACAAAAAGTAATGAAAACAAAATTAACAAATAGGAGTAATTCATAGAAATATAAGAGCAAATAATACTAAAAACCAGACTAGCGATCAATTACTCTGTGATTCAATATCAAAATAAAATACTGTAAAATTAAGCTTCAGGAATGTGAGAAAATAAAGCAATATATTCGTATCTGATTAAATAGAAACAATTACCTGGTGGCGATAGTTCCAATAACCGTTAGATCCAGCTAGAAGAACGGCCCATCGAGTTCCGACCGGATCACCGCCATCGGCTCCTCTGTTCTCCTCCGCCGGCCGGAAGAACCTGGCAGCATCGGACGGCAGTTTCAGAAATCCGCGGCCATCGGCGGCGGCGACGAGGAAGAACGCGAGAAAGAGAAGAGCGGCGGTGAAGCACCGACTCATCGTCAATGGCGGCGAGATCTTTTGTAGTGATCGGAATAGGAAAAAAGGGAATTATTTAACTCCGTATAGAAGGATGGATGGATGTTGTGAATGGGATCCGAACGAATCTACGTTTATATAGACGGCGCAACTTAACGGACTGTGGTTATTATGTACTGCCGAAAATGACCTTTGTAGGGAAGGCAAGTAGGTGACATCGACGGTAGATTTTTGTTTGTTCCATATTGGTGGGCCCTATTGAAATAGTACTCACTCCATATAATTAACTTTTCTACTCCATATTTGTTTTTTGAGTATATTAAACAAAAAATTGCTACTGGGTACCCCTAATTTTGGGATAAAGACTAGTAGGTCCCATTGTTTTTCAAAATATATTCCGAGGTACCTTAAGATATTCGAAAATTGACTCCGGGGTGACAATCCGTCATTCTCTCCGTTAACCTTTCTTTTCCGTTATCCTCCTCCTCCTCCTCTTCTCAAAAAATTACTGCCAGGTACCCCTTATTTTGGGATAAAGACTGGCAGGTCCCATTCTTTTCTTCTTTTCTTCTTCTTCTCTTCTTTTCTTCTTCTTTCTCTTGCCTTCCAGAGTTCCAGTGACCTCCATTCCTCCCCCCACCCCCGTTTTTTCTTCTTTTACCTTTTCTTTTGTTTTTTTCTTCTTCTATTATAATTATTATTATTTGTTAATAATTATTATAATTAATTACTTCATAATTATTATTTTCTTATTCTATTATTATTATTAATTTTTTGATTTATTATTATTACTATTATTATTAAAAATTAATTGTTAGTTTTACCACTCTTTTCTATAAAAACACTAATTGTTATTTAGAAAAATAGCACTTATTATAAAATAACACTTATTATTAATACTATTATTTATTTTAAGCAATTAANTTGGCATGCTTTTTTCGGTGTCGCGGGCTCGAACAACGACATCAACGTTCTCGATCAATCGCCTGTTTTTGACGATTGGGTTAATGAGACCACACCGGACTCCTCTTTTGAGCTTAGAGGGACGCTTTACAAGCGTGGATATTATTTGGCCGCTGGAATATATCCAGATTATTCCACGATTGTCAAATCCCTCTCCGAACCAATGGGTCTTAACCGTCAGACCTACAAAAAAACTCAAGAGGCGGCGAGAAAAGATATTGAACGAGCCTTTGGGGTCTTGAAGAGTAAATGGCACATTCTAGATCGTCCGTCGAAATGTTATTCACATACAGAAATGAGAAATATCATGTAGGCATGTATTATTCTTCATAATATGATCATAGAGAATAAGGGGTCTGCGATTTGTCAATACAACCCAGACGAGGAGGTGCCTATGTACGAAGAAATCACCGAAGAAAAGAAACGACGCAACCGCCAAGAAATTCGAAGCCGAGAGATTCACAATGCACTAACGGCAGATTTGATCGAGCATATCTTTAGTCGTTCGAATAATTAGTGATTTCTTTGTACTATTGTTTTTTTATGTAATATTTTTTGTAATGAATGTAATTTTTTTATGAATGTTTTTTTTATGAATGTAAGATTTTTTTAATGAATGTAATTTTTTTAATGCACTAGTCTCATTGCGATTAATTAAAATAATAAATTAATTTAAATTTAGAAGATGTATATTTAAAAATGTAAAAAATGAAGGTTTGAAGCCCCAGTTTGAAGCCCCGGGGCTTCAAAACCATTTCCAGTGAGTTTTTGGTGTAAGTTAAAGCTGACGTGGCAGAGAGAGAGTTTGAAGCTCCGGGGCTTCATGACCATTTCCAGTGCTGTTATAGATGCTAATAACCGTAAACAATTCATCTGTGTTATTGCTAATAATTGCATTGTAACAATTAGCCGCGTTATTTGTAACCCCAATTGAGATTTTGATTGCCGGTGGACTTGCAGTGAAGAATGCTTCCAGACACCCTAATAAATTTAAAATGGAAAAAGAGTACTTAAAATATAAGTCGGCTTGGTTTTCTACGTAGGGGTGGCCCAAGGTGACCAGGCAAGTGGGGAGTAACGATGTGAAAATATACTCTTTCTGTTCCTAAGTATTTGTCAAGTTTTTACTTTTTAGAGTCAAAATTGAAGAACAAATATTAATATTAGATATTTATACAAAAATACTTTTATTAGATTTATTTTATAAAATATGTATAAAATATTATACTCTCTCCGTCCCAAAAAGATTTACACGTTTCAAAAAAGTTGTGTCCCACAATCCTTTACCCATTTATATTAAAAAACTACTTTTACCCCTTACTTTTTCAAACCCTGCCTATCACATCATACCTTTTTCCTAATAATCTACACATCACATCCTACTTTTACCCATCACATCAAGGGTATTTTTGGAAAGTCAACACAAAATTATCCCTCCCTTAATTTCAACTTTAGTCAAAATGGATAACACTTTATGGGACGGAGGGAGTATTATCTAATCTATATATTTTGTAGATTTTATTTAATTATAAATCAAATTGCAAAAGAAGCATGCTAGGTGTACACTACTTTATACCCAGAGCTTAACACTGATAGGGGTGTTCATTTATAGGTCTGGACCGGAAACCGATCGAACCGGACTGATCGATCCAGACCGAACCCGAACTGAAAGAATTTCGGGTCGATATTCGATCCGAACGATTTCTAATTTCGGGTTTCGGTCCGGTCCGGTGTTTACCCGAACCACAACCTGTCCAGACCGAGAACAGATAACATCCTTAATCTAATTTTATTTCTTCCGTTCAAAATACACCAGCCAAAAAGCCAAGCTTATCCTACTATCCCTAAATCCCTAATTCTCACTTAACTCCATCTTGCTTTTTCGAGAGCCTGAGACTGAGAGGGATTCGCCGAGAGCCTACGCCATTCGCAGACTCCCAGCCATCGCCAAGATCGGCGTCTCTCCTTCGGCGTCTCGCCTTCTACATCTCCCCTTCGCCGTCTCGCAGTCCCAACCATCTCAATCTGCGGCGTCTCACCTTCGCCGTCTCGCAGAGCCGACTCCCGGACCGAAAGAAATCAGGTACTGGTACCCATCTCTTCTCCCTCGTCTCCTTCTCTGTAATCCATAGTCTTCTTCTCTATTAGGTTTTTTTCTTGTTAAATTATTTCCATGTTATTTGTAAGGCTTAGCCAAATTGTATTATTCTTAGATTTTGTTTCCAAATAACATTTGAAACTTTTAAATTTGGCTAAGGTGGCAGATTGTCAATTGTTAAAAAAACAGCAATATCAATTGTTTAAAAAAACAGCAATGTCAATTGTTTAAAAAAAACAGCAATGTCAATTGTTAAAAAAAAGACTTGAGAGTTCTCTGGATTAGTGATGAGTGATGTTGGTGACTGGTGAGTGGTAATTACTCTAAATGTCAATTGTTTAAAAAAAATACAGCAATGACAATGGTTTTAAAAAAACAGCAATGTAACTGTTAACAAATGTTTTGGTTGTATAAGATTTAAAAAATTCAACTGAAAAGAAAAAAATTTCGGTCTAATCGGTCTATTCCGGTTCGGTCTAAGGGGTTTCGGTCCGGACCGGTCCAAGATCGATTGAGAATCGGCCCGGTCTTCGGTCCTATATTTTTTTGATTTCGGTCTTTGGTCCGGTCCGGTCCTGGACCAATGAACACCCCTAAACACTGGCATTTTGATGGCTCCACATTAAAAAATTCCTGATATTACTTACATTTTGTGTGTGAACAACTGTTAGTGGCTTAGTGCAATAGTTTGAGGTATAAAATGGTGTGGACCTAGATTTATTCTTTACACAAATCACACAATTTCACCATTTAAGACCTCGTTTAAAAAGTAAATAGGAAGATTAATTACGGATAGAAAGATTATAAATTTATTTAATTGTTAGTCTTATCCCTTATGGTTGATAGTTGAGTAATTATTTTCATTTTATAAAAAAACATCCAAAAAAATCATTTTAGATTTTAGAATTCATATCATTTTTTTCAAAATTTAAAGCTTGTTTCGTTCTTTCAAAATGCACCAAATGGCCCCGTAAAAGAATTCATAATGATTTTTTTAAAATTGCAAGGAAACATTATCCAGAATAATCTCAAATTTACATGATCTTTCAAAATTAATCTCCACTTTCATTGTAATACATAATAATCCTAACTTTACTGAGATTTGCGGATCTTGGATCACTGTTAAGTTACGAAGAGCGAGTTAACGCAAAATCTATTTTGCACAACACAATGATAGTTGAGATTATTTTTTATGAATTTTTGTTTTTTAAAATTTTTTGAAATTTTCATTTAAATTTTTTAAATAACTTTCTACCTGCATCATTTATTATTTTAAAGATTAGTCAACTTTGGATGAAAATTAAAAAAATAGATATAAAAAATTATGAAAATGAGAAAATAACTAAAATAATACTCTCTCCGTCCCAAAAATTCCTTCATTCTGGGGCTATTTTTCATGAAAGGTACCCCATCTTTGCACCTTGTAACAAAAAGGTACCACATCTTCAACTTGTAACGAAAAAGTACCCCATCTTTAAAAAAATGTAACAAAAAGGTACCCCTTGTCAGAATTTTAAGAATTCGACCGGCGAGCGTACATGTGACATTCTACTTAGCTTTCTGGTGTACATGTTATATTCCATATGACTTCCAAATTAATTTTTAATTTCTCATATACGTTATTAACTTTGTACGTGATGTTCTAATTTTTTTAAATTATACTTTCTTTATGCAACAATATCATATTCTATTATTCACAAAATATTTTAAACCAAACTAGAATTTTTTTTACTTTTTGAATATTTCTCTTTATTGTAATTTAAAAGGCAACAACTTATTTATTTAAATTTTAAAATATCTACAATTTTTTGGAGTTAAAAATTTAATATTCCTTACGTCTTAAAAAGATCTACCTATTTCATTTTTTGCGCATCTCATAAGACACTTTGGTTAATTTCATTTCATATTTCATTTTTTGCGCATTTCATTTCATATTTCATTTTTTGCGCATCTCATTTTATGGGTGACCAAATATTTTTGGTTAATTTCATTGGTCAATTTTGGTTCCATTTATATTTTTTCTGGGATAATAATGGCATAGATAGACATCTTAATTCATGTATTGCTTTGACAATTTATAGAGAGAATATAAGTTTGGAGAAGACAAGGTAAGAAGCAAGGAAAGTTCAATGTGTCATTTTGATATAGTATATTTTAGGGCCTCTTGGCAAATAGTTTCAATTCCATAATTATGTTTTTCATTTGTACATTGTGTCACGATTACAAGTATTTAATCACTGTGCTTCTTTTTCTTATGTAGCTTATGGTAACACATTAATTTGCAATCTATGTTCTACATATTTGTAGAAGGAATGACTCCCTTCTTTTCAAGGTATTCATGGTATTGTATCTGGCATTTTACTTTGTCAAGATGGTGCCCCAATTTTCATTCAATTCGTCACTGAAACTCTGAAAGTTAGAAGTACGTTAATATCATGTGTTGGTGGAGGTGCATTTGGTTGAATGAGTGTATAAACTGAATTTGCTTATGTTTTGTCCTGAAATGTAGAGACTCAATTATTAATTGAACTGTCTAATTATCTATTTTTTTATTTTAATTGTGAAAATGTATCTAAAATGTATTTCAAATAAAAGTAAACAACATATTAAGATGAGCATATAAATGTAATTTATCTTTACTGCAACAAAACAGTAATGTGTGCGCCACATCTTCATAAGTTGATTCAAGTAATGGACTAAAAAATAATACTATTTGGGTGAAAAAATTGGTTATAATTATACTTTATGAATATCTAATACCCATTCTTAATCACTCCATTCCCAGTTTCCCACCCACATGGCTACACCCCACCAAAAAACACTAAATATCTAATTATATGTTTCCATTGTGTTGTGTTAAATGAGCAAATGAAGCATTTGCCCCCTCACCTTAGGACTATAGTATCCAGCTCTATAGGATCAAGTTAATGCCATTATGCTTTGTGCTAATATAATTGGGCAAGTAATTTATGCCTTTTCGGAATGATTCTTCTATATAATCCACAAGTATAACGTATGGACATTGATATTGGTAACAATATTCATTTGAGTCTACATCGTAATGCTATAGATGTGGGGTTAACAGGTTCTTCTAGGTGGAGAATGCTATGAGCTCTCTCTCTCTCTCTAAAACAAGAAGCTTCAACCGTGAAATATATTTTATCCGAGATTATATAAACGCGTGGGAAGCACGAGGTAAAAATTTTGTTTGACCCCGTGCGTGGCACGGGTCAAATTACTAGTGCCTTAAATAGAAGTGTGTTAATTTTTTATTATTTTAGGTTTTGGAGGGATAAGTATGGAGGGAAACTAATTTCCCAAAAAACTCAAACTTTTTGGATATTTTTAGCCTGGCAACTCTCTCGTTGACCGAGATTATATAAACGCGTGGGAAGCACGAGGTAAAAATTTTGTTTGACCCCGTGCGTGGCACGGGTCAAATTACTAGTGCCTTAAATAGAAGTGTGTTAATTTTTTATTATTTTAGGTTTTGGAGGGATAAGTATGGAGGGAAACTAATTTCCCAAAAAACTCAAACTTTTTGGATATTTTTAGCCTGGCAGCTCTCTCGTTGAAGAGATGTAATCATCAATGTGTATCACAACTCATTTAATGCAATTGTACTTGCATTTGTACTTTATTTTTATTTTAATATTATTACACATTATTTACTTATTTGAGGTGTCCCACTTTTACTTTTGTTTTGGAGGGTATTTTGGGAAGGTCAAGGGCCAAAAAAGCATTCTTTAATTTTCCACTTTGGTCAAATTGTCCCAATCTTTATGGGACGGAGGGAGTATTAGATGTGGGTATTTGTTTTTATTAAATTGTCTTTATTAAAAGAGTAAATTTCCAAAATAGTCATTTGTAATAAGGTGTTTTCCCAATTTAGTCCTCTTTTAATTACCTACATGATCCTCTATAATTGAGATCTATTCCCAAGATAGTTCTTCGTAAATAATTTTAGTCAAATGATGATTAATTGGGAGATATTTTGATATTTTGATCATTCAAATTTAAAGTATATTCTCAAAAAAGTCTTTTTCTGCACAACTAAATGTAAAATTTAAAAAATACATTGACTATAAAAATACCCAAATACCATCAATTAATTCTCATTTGAGTAACATTATTTACGAAGAACCATTTTGGGAATAAATCTCAATTATAGAGGACCAATTTATTGAGAACTAATTTGGGAAAACATTTATTACAAAAGATTATTTTGGAAATTTAGTCTTATTAAAATGTTGAGTATGTTTGCCTCTCCCTTCCAAAGCTACCAATCAAAGCTCCAAATCTGACAACAAGCCTTCGTTCTCTTTCCGCCCCTTCTGAATTCGGCGTCACATAACCAGCGCCACAAATCCCTCCGTTTCTTTCAAAGCGGCATCTCATCTTCACTCTTCGCTGCTTTTACTTCCAGCCTTAATTTTTTGAATCTTAGAGAATGAATTGATGAGCAACAAAATTCATAAAACAGAAGCAGAGAAATTCTAAGCCACAGTAACTGTAATTTTCCTCTTGCTGTTCTCATCCGCAGTTTAAAATGAGTTGAATGTGGCATTTCCAGTTCTCATCTGTAATTTTCCTCTTGCTGTTCGACATTGCTTTTTAGCTTTCCTCCTGATATGCTTTATGCAATTCTTATTTATAGTCCGATTTTTCCAGTTTTGATATGACCCTGTGGAATAGTGTATATTTAGTTTAAGCTGTTGTTTTTGCAGGTGTGGAGATACTTTTGTCATGGGTGAGCGGGAGAGACACAGAATCTTAATGGTGTCTGATTTTTTCTATCCCAATTTTGGTGGTGTAGAGAATCACATTTATTATTTATCTCAATGCTTGATGAAGCGGGGTCATAAGGTTAGGGTTTAACGTAATAATTCACATTGCTCTCATTAAGGTTCAATTCCCTTAGTAATCTAGTGTTTGTTAGTATTTGATACAAAATTCGTACATGCTCTAACCAGCAACCCTAAAAGAAATGAAAATAGAGTTTTCCCCCATATTTGGCATGATTGCATAAGTAGGAATTTGTGATATCCCTTGTGTATCGGTGTATGGCTACGGTGAAAAATGAAGACACTTAGCTAGGTGGATTTGCATAGACAGTTTGCAGCAAACTAATAGTCCCAAAGAAATCGGCCCTTTTTGGATTTCCTCCATTAGAAAAATGGGTCAATATGAGAAACAAATGGACATTTTAAGATTTTATTGCGGGACAGAATTCTTTAGAAGAAGGTTTGTAGCCAATTAATTAATCCTGATGAATCGTTCTCTTCTATAGTACTGTTTATAGGGAGTTAGCCTTCTTAAAAAATGTAAAAAGGCACCACAACACATCCAACCTTATTACTTAAATTCTTCTAACAGAAAAAAATCAATAACAATGTCTTATGCACCATCAACACAGATGAAACAATTGGGTGAAACATTAAAGCATAGTTTTCCATAAAGATGGTTCTTAATACAGTGCAATCGTTATGCTCTTTTCTATGAAGTTAGGTGGTGATTATGACTCACGCTTATAAAAACCGATCCGGGGTGAGATATATGACAGGAGGATTGAAAGTTTACTATGTACCCTGGAAGCCCTTTCTTATGCAGAATACACTACCAACCTTTTATGGTACACTTCCTATCGTAAGGACTATTCTCATCAGGGAAGAAGTGTCATTGGTTCATGGACATCAAGCCTTCTCTACTCTTTGCCATGAAGCTCTGATGCATGCACGTACCATGGGATACAAAGTTGTATTCACTGATCATTCCCTTTATGGATTTGCTGATGTGGGAAGCATTCACATGAACAAGGTACTGCAGTTTACTCTAGCTGATGTAACTCAGGCTATTTGTGTTTCTCACACAAGCAAAGAGAACACAGTATTAAGATCAGGGTTGCCACCGGAAAAAGTTTTCGTCATTCCTAATGCTGTGGATACCGCCATGTTCAAGCCTGCTCCAGAAAAACTCAGCCAGGAGGAAATTACTATAGTTGTGATAAGTAGATTAGTTTATAGGAAGGGGGCAGATTTGCTTGTTGAGGTTATCCCTGAAGTATGCCATTTACATCCCAATGTCGGTATTTCTAAATAGCTTGATTAGAAATATCTTGAATGTCTTTTTCAACAATTTTTAAATTTAAGCAACTCATCTTGATCCATGCTAGGTCCGCTTCATTATTGGAGGAGATGGACCTAAACGAGTGCGCTTGGAAGAGATGAGGGAAAAGCATTCTCTCCAAGATCGAGTTGAGATGCTGGGAGCCGTGCCACATGCTAAAGTACAATCAGTACTGATAACTGGCCATATTTTCTTGAATAGGTATATCATATTCGTTTTGGGATGTGTGCCTCTGTGGCTCATCAGAGAGCATTGGGTTATTATGTATGCAGCTTTTATGGGAGTATCCTGATTCCTGATCTTATACATCAACTTTAAAACGGGATGACTTATGAGAGAAAAGGATAAGTAAGCACAAAGACATCCATGACAACTCACAGTTTATGCTCAGAGGAATAAGTAATGCCAAAGGCATTCGCATTTCATTGTTTCATACCAGTAGTATTTTACAAAGCATACAAGCTTTTTGACTTCTGAGAGTTCATACGATCATGATTTACACAGTTTTCTGTATGTCTTAGTGTCTATGGTAACAAGTTGCTTTATTCTTACTCTATCTTTTCCCCGACATTTTTCTTTACCTAATTCTTACAATTTGTGTACTAGCTCTTTAACAGAAGCATTTTGTATAGCTATACTAGAAGCTGCAAGTTGTGGATTGTTGACAGTCAGTACACGTGTCGGAGGAGTTCCTGAAGTATGATCATTATATAGTATATACTTTCTTCACTTCACATGATTGTATTTGTATATAAGTTATTTGTTAGCAGGTGATCTAAATTTAGGTCTCATCGTTTTTCTATTCTTTTTTGTGTATGTATGTTGATGATCAATCAGGTTCTTCCAGATGATATGATTGTTCTTGCTGAGCCAGATCCTAGTGATATGGTACGAGCAATCACAAAGGCAATCTGCATGCTTCCCCAAATTGATCCAATTTTTATGCACAACCGTGTAAGTAATTGCTTGTAATGCTTTCTTTTAGTGCTTTTATGCTCGGCCAACAGGTGATATTGGGACCTAATAATAGTTATAATAGTATTATGTAAACATGGCATACTTATTTTTCATCCAGATGAAGAAACTGTATAGCTGGCATGATGTTGCCAAGAGGACAGAGATTGTGTATGACCGTGCTCTAAAACACTCAAATCCTCCTCTATTAGAACGACTGTCTAGGTGTGTAAAATGCATTGTAATTATTTTATTATTACTATTATTATTATTATATAATAATAATAATAATTATTATTATTATTATTATTATTTTATGCGGACATTGTTTTGCTAGATACCTCACATGTGGAGCTTGGGCAGGGAAACTGTTTTTCATAGTCATGTTAATTGACTTCTTGTTATGGTGTCTACTACGACTCTGGCAGGTAAAGGTACCTTTTATGGCTAGTTTGCTTGCTCCTATTTTTTCTTTCCAATTTTAATTGTTCTCTGTGATTTTCACTAGCCTGACACTGAGATTGAAGTGGTGCCAGACATTCCTTTGCTGAAACCGCAACATGGAAAGATGCCACATGGTTCTAATGAGGGGTAAAACATTTCGACGACATACTCAGCTCAATCTCGGTAATGAAAATTTTGCACTTTTTTTTTTTATTTAGAAAATCGTGTAACTTGAGAAGAATGTGTTGAAAGACTAACCATCAGGTAAATGTAGTATGGGACAATGTGTGTCTGTAGTAAGGCTATTCTATACCAAGTTCTGTAGTAAGAAACACCAAGTTCCCATTCCCAGGCATACTGGTGGATGAACTGGCGAATTAATGGCATCACAATGTACCTGAGAAGGTTCAAATATCAGAATGACTTTAATTAGGATTGAAGGCCTTACACTTCATCAGTTGCAATTGGCAGGTTAGTAAAAATGTGAAATTTATGCAAAATATCGTGAAGAAATATATCAAATGAAGAAAGGAGCTTAGAATTAAAAGGGCTAATCAAGCTCACATTGTTTAGTGTTATTGATTCGATTACAATCTAGTATCTGTTTATACTTTTCTTACTTTAGTGACACACAAATACCCAATGACTCCGCCTCCATTCAGGCTTGAACCTGGTTGAAATTTTCCATTTATTATGGGGAGTGATCTTTTTATCACTCAAGCCAGGAAAGAAGTTCAATCAAACTCACATATAACAAAGGGAGTAATGAAACTTTGCGTCATAAAGATAAAGTACTTGGGAAAGGAATTTAAGATGGTAGGGATTGCAAAATGATGACTAATTTATGTCATGTAAATCTTTTACTTTTAAAGTACTTGGGAAATACTTTTATAATATGTAAATGTTTTTACATTACTTAAATCATACATCAATAGAAAACATAGAATAGCCTTCCACATTTGTTAAACACAAATGAAGAATTATATGATTCAATAATTAATTACAATGTATTCCCCTCCCCTTATATACATGTAGGAGTGTTAAGAATAAGGAAACTAACATTAATGAGGAATCTTGTACAAATATAGAATCTACCATATATAATGATAATATTTAATATGCAATATTACTTAACATATTTAACATGCTACCAACTCCGTCGGCGATCTTTGGACCCCAAAGTTGTGTGGAAAATCAGTGAAAAGAAGCGACGGTAATCCTTTTGTGAAGATGCCTGCGAACTGGAAGAGGATGGTACATGAAGAACTCAAACCTGCCCTAGAACAACTTTTCTCTAACTAAATGAATATCTACTTCAACATGCTTGGTACGTTGGTGCTGTACTGGATTTGAGGACAAGTAGACATCACTGATATTGTCGCTGAACACAATGGTGGCTCGCCGTAGTGGTTGATTAAGTTCAAGAAGAAGATTTCGAATCCAACTGGTTTCAGCAACATCATTGGCCACAACTCTATATTCTGCCTCAGCACTAGATCTGGAGGTGATGGCTTGCCGCTTGGAGGACCATGAGACCAAGTTGTCCCCTAAGTATACACAATAACCAGAAGTGGAGCGTTGCGTGTTAGGGCACCTTGCCCAGTCTGCATCAGAGCAAGCCTAAAGGAAATTCGTGGAAGAGCGAGAGAGAGTGATCCCATGAGTGACTGTACCCTGGAGATAGCAAAGGACCCGTTTTAAAGTTGTAAGATGGGTCGTCCGTGGAGAGTGAAGATAGGGAAAGAGTTGGTGGACTGCATACATGAGATTAGGCCGTGTGAATGTAAAATACTGAAGGGCACCAACGAGGGAACGATAGAGAGTGGCATCGACTACGAGTTCCCTAGAGGTGGCAGATAATTTCCCTTTAGAGTCACCCGGTGTGGAGATGGGCTTATAGTGTAGCATACCTGCCCTGTCCAGAATTTCATGGGCAAACTGCGCCTCATGCAAGAAAAGGCGACCTTTGGTACGCTAAACACAAATGCCAAGAAAGAAATTAAGCTCTCCCATGTCAGTCATGGCAAACTCGTCCTTCAAACATGTCGTAATCTGAGATAAAAACATAGTGCTCGAAGCCGTAAGAACTATGTCATCCACATATAAGAGTAAGTACGCCATGTGTGACCCATGTGTGTAGACAAATAGAGATGTGTCTGTTTTGTAACTCTGAAACCCAATGTGCCGAAGGAAACCAACAAATCATAGATACCAGGAGCGAGGAGCCTGTTTTAAATCATAGAGAGCCTTCTTGAGTTTGCAAACGTGATATGGACAAGAGGGATCCTCAAATGGCAGTGGCGGATCCAGAAATTACAAGTACAGGGGGCGAACTAAAAAAAATTTCCAATTTAACCAAATTATAAAGAAGAGATGAAAGTTGCCTTGAAGAATAAGGTGATATACTAATATACAATGTCAAAATTTAAATGAACACCTCACACCTGAAACGATTAGAATAAACTCTTTGCAAGTTAATAACTCATTATATTAGCATTAAGGAAACATCAAAGCGTCAAAGGGTATAACAAAAAGATATGAGTAATTTTTATTGCAAACTAAAGAAAATATAATTACAAGTTCACAATTGTCCCCTACGAGCTTTCATACTTTGAAAATGAGTAATTACAATCTCATTGCTAATGATATCAAGAATATCCTTTTCTATATAGGATACAAGACAATCATTTAAAAACTTATCACCCATTCGATTATGCAAATATGTCTTCACAATGTTCATTGCTGAAAAGCTTCGTTCAACACTTGCAGTAGCCACGGGCAAGATTAGTGTTAACTTCAAAAGACGGAACACCAACGGAAAAGAAAGATTCTTCTTTGTATCCAACAACATTTTGGACAGTTCAGCAAGACCATTGATATTAGAGAACCTCTCATCTGAGCTTACATCATCAATTAGAGTAAAGACTAGAGATTTAGATATTACGTGACATGATGAATTGCAGAATTGATGATGAGTGATGTCTAATTATTGATTTGTGAAGAAGAATCTGCAAAAATACAAGCATTATACATTTATACTATTATATATGATAAAAATAGAAATAATATTAAAAATACATTAAAAACATGCAAAAAACCATGGAGTACAAACTACTCAGTACTTTTTACTTTTTAGAACAATTGATTCTTGAAATTTGACAAATTAAATACTTGGATCTAAAAGTCCTAATCAAAAATTGAAAAAGTGAGAGAGAAAGCCTCTTACTCAACTCTCAATTTGTGGTCTGTGGCCGGATTGTGATTATGCGATCAAGATTCAAGAGGAACAGGAAAGCCGGTGAGCGATGAATGGTGAATTGGCAGCCGGCGAGACTGTGGTTTATGCAGAAGAGGAGAAAGACGGAAGCTGCTGGATTGAAAAATACTCTGTATGGTTTCTTTGAGTAAACTACTGGGGGCAAGTGTATTTTTTATTGGGTGCAAGAATAGGTTTTTAAAAAAATTTGGGGTACTAATTAAAATTTTTTAAAAGTTGACTGGGGGCATGTGCCCCCACTGCCAATCAACTCCATCCGCCTCTGCCAGATGGGTGTCGGGCATAAACAGTTTCTTGAAGGTGGCCATGAAGGAAAGCATTCTTGACATCCAGCTGGTGTATGGGTCAGCCCTTAGAGAGGGCGAGACTAAGGACAATACGGATGGTGGCCGGTTTGATGACCGGACTGAACGTTTTGCTATAGTCAACGCCAAAACGTTGGTTGAACCCTCGAACAACCCAACGAGCTTTATACCTGGACAGAGCACCTGTGGGGTCAAATTTATGTTCAAAAAGCCATTTGCATGATATAACATTTTGGGTGGGGGAGGGGGTACTAATTCCCATGTGTTATTCTTGATTAACGCATTAAATTCATCACACATTGCATCATACCAGTTTTGATCTTTTAGTGCATTACGGTAGGTGGCAGTGGGGAGATAAATGTTGTGGTGTTGAGGTTTAGGGTGGATTTTGGGCGGGAGATTCCGGATTTGGCACGGGTGGTCATCGGATGGGTGTTCAGAGGGGGTTTGGACGAGGCTTGGTTCGTGGGTTGGGCCGAGGAGTGGGATTGGGCCGATAGGTTAGGGGTGGGTTGGGGATTAGTTTGGGCCGTTGGATAGCTTGAAGGTTGGGCTGAGAGGTGAGTGGTGGGTTGGGGATGAATTTGGGTTGGCTGAGAGGAGTTGGGCCAAAATTGGGTTGGGAAGGGGGTG